ATAATAATATATTTTTATTGTTGGTATAGTTTTAAAATAGGTAATTTAATCATGTAAATTAAAATTAATGTATATCTGAATGTTTAGTTTAATAAAATATTTTGATGGCGATTGTGAATTAAAACTATTTTTCTTTCATGAGTAAATTCTGTATATAATATTATAAATTTATTGTGATAAAATGTAAATAGCAAAACAAATGAATTTTTTAGTACTGCGCTAGCAGTTGAAGTGCATGGCGCCATTCGCACGATTCCGAGTCATTGAGCAAAATTAATATTTTCCAGTTCCCTCATACTATATCCAGTCCCACTGAATGTCTGATAGTAAATCCATAAATTACGTTAATTTGTCTTACCAGTAATGGGGGCCCGTCTAATAGTATTTGCATTTAATATTGTTAAGATTGTCACACATTCTTATCGCCCTTGTGCTATCGCTTTTTTACGGGTTTCCAATACACAATATACTAGCGAAGAAGTGAATAGAGATAATTAAATAATGATATTAACAAAAAAAAAAAAAAAACAAGATCCGGCCATGGTCCCAATTACAGTAATCACAAAGTTCACACTCTTGTTAATTTTTAGAAGGTTGTATTAAGAAATTGAACATATCTTTAAATTTGAATTATATTGGTGTTAAAATAAAAAACTTTTTTATTCATACATTCTATGTATTTATACTTGTGCATCTTTGATTAAAATAATTTTATTTTTATTATGTATTTGTAAAAAACTAAATTTTTGAGACATCAAGTTTATTATAAATATCAGAGTAAAAATAATCTTAATCAACATTAAATAATATCATTGAGTTTATATTGTATAAATACTATATATACTCAATGATAATATGATGACTTTATGGTATTATATTTGAGGAAAAAATTGTCTATAAATTGACATTATTCATGTTAAAAAATGTGTGTCATATAGATTATTACACATTGTTAACAAAAATAAGAAATAATTACATTTGTAATTTATCAAAACGATAATTTAACATTTATTTTAGGGTAATTATTCATAATGAATTTAATTATACATATTTAAAATAGTTTCTCTTATTCGTGCACCTATGCTAATTAAGACTACGTAATTGTTTTGTTTTAACATAGTTAATTAGAAACGTTGAAATAATGTTAATCTTATCTAAATAATACAGAATAAATGCAATCATGTAAATTCAAGTGCATAATAATTATTTATTTGTTTTAGCTACATTTTTTTGTGAATTTATAATGTTTTGCGAGGGACAGCTGAACATAAAAATATAACTTAAATCTAACTTAATAAATAAAAATAAATCTTTGAAATTGTATCTTTAATAAACAATAAAATGAATGTATTTTTTCAATTAGTTAATGATTTTGTAGTACTTACTTTATAATACGTAAATATACCTACTTAAAAAAATTTAATGACTATTAAACGGCGACTTAAAAGTTTATGGTTTTTAATAGACATATTTTATAATGTAGTGTTATGCGTAAAACATTATGTTTTCAAACAAATATGGATATTTATCTATATAAATATTAAAATAATTATTATTATGTTGCATAAACACAGTTGTCATCTACTTACATTTTAATATTTGTTTATTGTTATCAAATAATATTATACATATAATTATGTAATCTTATATATTAGTTTGTTTGTTCTCAAAAAAAACAAAATATTTATTTAAATATTAAAATGATTGTTTTTGTGTTTTATAGACACAGTTGTCATTTACTTACATTTTTATATTTGTTTGTTGTACAGTTCAATATTTAGTAATAATAATGATAATATATAAAACATATGGATATAAAAAATATATATTTGGTTAACTGTACTTTTAATTTATTTTAATTTCTTTATTTACACTTAAGTGATCTAAAAGTCATATTTTTAAAAAGTTTATAAAATATAATTTATGAGTATGTTACATCTTACACATGTAAAATATAATATTTGATTTTAAGATTTTTATGAAGTAGTTTTATAAGTTATTTTATAACATTTTATTTCAAATACCTAATATATTTTATAAATATTTATTAATTGAATTTCGAATATTTTTTGTACTTTGAGTTTTCATAAATATAACCTTTTTAGTTACATTTGATGAAATATTATAAGATTATTAAAATTCATCTTATTTAATGGTTCACTATCAAAAACTTTTAATAATCAAATTTATACATAGCTTTCCGTCGATACTGATGGTTTTAATAAAAATAAATATATATTATTTTATTAAAAATATTTCAAGTATGTATTTCAATAGGAATATTTATAATTTCAAGAGACTTTTTTTGTTATTGGGATTTGAGTCTATATTCAATTGGAAAAAAACATTTCTGAAAAAAATTTGAACGTATATTATTTAAAAATATTTTATTTCTTTAGTGTAAATTGTAGGGTACTTAAAGAATTATAAGTTTATATTATACATATAATAAAATCTCAATCTAATACTAAAGGGCTAAAGATATTATGTTTAAGATGATGTTTTAACTAGATTTAATCTAAGATTATAAATTAATATTACATGTTATCTTTTTTTCGAAAGTGTAAGTATTAAATCTATGTTATTACTGATAGAAATATATTTAAAATAGTTATTAATTCATGTATTTGTAATATTTACGAATAGACATTCTAATGAAAGTAACACAAACCATATTTACAATAGGTAAACAATAATAATAATAATAATAATAATAAAAGAGTAAGGTATAACTATAAATAAATTAACTTGGTGTGGTTTAATGTTAAATTTTTGTTTTAGTACATTATATTTAAAAATAAAAATAATGAATAGTCTATAATATGGTAAATATCATTATATTATGGTAATATATTATATAGGTTTGGTTGGGAATATATAATATCGTACCTATTAATATTTGAATTATATTACATGATTTTAGATTTAAATGTATACAAATCCCTAGATATTATAAGTAATAACTAATAGGTATTTAATTAAAACAAACTTTATCGTGGTTAATGAATTGATTTATTGTAGGTTTGAATATTCATTTAATATTTTTTGGAGTTATTATTTTTTTAAATATATATTTTGGAAGTTTTTGTTTAAAAATATAGTAATAGTGGTATGTTGTTATTTGTATTACACAAAAATATAAATAAAAAATTGACCATTTTTTATGAGAAGAAAATTACAAGGAAAAATTGTCGCATTTAAAATTATGTAGTTAAAATTAAAAATATGTATAGCGTAAAAATAATAAATTGCAAGCTTTCACAAATATTAAAAATAGAAAGTTTAGACTATTGTATGCAGTATTATATTCTACAAATAAAATTATGGTTTATTAATTTTAAATTAAATTTTAAATTAAATATTTAATGGATTATTTAATCTCTTGAAAAAAATATATAACTTAAAATAATTAAAAAAAATTCATAATTTATTACCATAAAATTTTTGTATTAACTAAATATATTCTTTGATTATAGTTGTATTTCTGATCATGATTTTTTAAGGATTAAATAATATTATCAATAGTTAACTTTTTTTTGATAAATATTGGACAGATTAAAATTCAATTTATTAACTATCATTTTATACTAACTATTTGTTTTATATAAATGTATATTCTAAAAGTTAATTGGAATTGAGGGTTAAGAGTAACATTTTGGTAACCATTAGTAAGCATTTCAAGATGGTTTAATTAGAATATGATGTTGAATTAAGCTTTGAAAAATAAAAATAAAATGTTTGATAGTTATAAACTTATAACACGATATATATTTTTCAATTTAATATATTAGTATTTTTAGTCTTTGAATTTTCATAAATGTAATTGTATTTAAATGGTCTTAAGAAATAAAAACATCATTGAACTGTTTTTTTTTTTTTTTTTTTTACTATATATTTTGTACGTTTAGTTTTAGTTGTTTTAATTAAAAATAATAACGAACCAAAAATCAAAATAAAACTTATTCATGGTTTACATTAAATATTAAAATAGTTAAAAAAACTACTTTTACAATTAATGATAATTAGTTGGTTTTATTTAATTAAAAACATTTGAAAAAGGTTGATTGTATTAAAAACAAAGTTCAAAAATATTGCATAGTTATGTTTAGTATATAATCTAATGTACGTATAGAATTGGTACTTACAGTATATTGCCATGAACATTTTATAAGTTTTCTTTGACGTTAAATGAAAAACTCTTCTAGTCAAATTTATAAAACACGGCTTTATGTAGGTGTGAATAAACTTAAACTAATCCAGTATAAAGGTTCCAATATAAGTATACTAGTATACAATTGCACCTCTCTCAATTAGCTGCTAGCTATCACATTGCAAGCATTGTTTGCGGTGATAATAAGACACGTTTTTTTTTCACGGTTGTATTATAGTCATACATAGTTTATAGTCGTTTTTAGGTCATTAGAATATTTTGACTTCAAATTGGATAATTGACTAATTTTATTTTTACAAATAAAAAAAGGACTTAAAAAATATTCTTGTATAAACAATTAACTTTTGATACCTATTAAAATATTTTTTCTTTACTACAAAGGTTTTTCAATATTCTCAAGTCGTTTTATTGAAATACATAATTAATATAATAATTAATAGCTAACTTCACTAAGTAATTAAAAATGATTTAATCATTATATTATAATATAGCTTGTTATTTTTATTTGAGATGTCGATTTTTAAGATCTTAAAAAAAAAATTAAAACTTGGTGGAAATATGTTTTCAATATTATATACGTATAATATGATTAATCGTTTATTATTATACTTGAGTTAATTACATTTTTTTTTTTTTAAAGAGCACTTATTATAAATAAGACTATAATTATCATGAATTATAGACAAAATTTGTATTATTAACTACTGAATTTATGATTAAAAAAACAATGTAAGTTATTAATTATTATAATTTATCATCCAAAAATATATTTCTAACAAGTAGAAATGCAGTTTTAATATTAATAAAAATATATTTACATATTTCTTACTGATTATGCACTGGTATGGAGACATCATAAAGTTCGTGAATAATTTAAAAACCTAAAAAAAAGAATATATTTAGTATAAAGAATTTATTATAATTTATAATATATCTATTGACTATTGTATATGATTAGTGTTAGAATTTACAAAAAGATAACGCAATATTATTTATACATTATTTATATGTATTGGGAATATTCTTACAATTTTTTAACGACGATAATAGTGTAATATTAATAAATTATATAATTTAAATAAAAAATAATATAATATATCAATACAGCAATACAATTTTATTATTTTTAACTTAAAAATAATTAATTTACATTTATCTATTTATACAAACCCGAGCTAATATTTTGAAGTATATTTTAATTTTGATAAGATTTGAATGGATATAAGAATAATTATATTAAATAACAAAATTATAATCTATAATTAATGGTTATGCATTTTTTTATTTTGAACTTGAGAACTTAAGTAAATAAACTGATCAATAATGATTTATTAGTAACAATTTCCAATATTATTTTTTGTTTGTTATCTATTTATAATTAGTTAGGTATTTAAAAATACACACCAGCACACCAGTTATGCCCGCAAGTTTAATGATGATATAAAATTAAAATGAAGTAAAATTTAACGATAGATAGGTATTATGCAATTTCACAATAAACACGGGTTAGTATAAATTGAGAATTGATAACATTAATATACATTTTTCAAGTTCTATTATATCGATGCAGTTAACCAACTGTGTAAATAAGTTTAATATAATAGCGACATAAAATAAATGCAATACCTAAGTAAAACATATGTAGACCATTTACTATGTAATAGCTACTATTTAAACAATGTCATATTTATCACAATTAATTATTAAACTTAATTTGTCCAAGTGTTTAACTAATGGCAGGTATGTGCCTAATAAAAAAAAAGAAAATATCGTTAATATTTAATACGGAGAGCTCAGGCTCCTGGTAACTATTTTTGTAAAAATAATTTATCATGTATATTTTGGGATAACACTGTAATGGATTATGGATGTCTCAACGTTAAGTTAAGTTTTACCATTGAATTATAATCTAAACAACTTAAAGAATCTATTGGTTCGAAAATTATTTTTATATTATTTGTACATAAAACTGTTTATGTTTGTTAAATAGAAGCAATCCAAAACTTGGGGATATCATGTGTTTTTGATTTCAAGTTGAATATATTTCATACATTTTTCTGTATATCAATTTGTATTACTTTATAAACATTGATTGCAGGAAAATGCAGAATATAAAGTATAATATTCATAAACTAATTATTTATATTGTAAGTACTTAAATCTATTTATACTCTGATATTAATGTAATTTAATTATTTTTTGGATACATTTATTTTTTGTGGAGATTAATTTAATTTTATTTATTTACACAATACAACGAATTCAATAATCGTGCAAGTATACGTCACAGGTCAGTTGAGAGGTATGAATGATAAACATTTATTAACTTTGATGGGTGACGTAATTTTTAGGATCTATCCTCTTTCATGAATGGTAATTATGAGTAAGGGATGAATTTTTTATTATTTATAAATAACTAACTGAGATGACCTGGTTATTAAAGTGACTCAATTATTAAACATAAACGCCTCTCACAGAAGGCTATAATGTCACTAATGAACTAAAAGATAAATACATAGTGCGATGTTTAACTGAACTTAACAACTGAATGATTGTGGTTTATGTCCACATGTTGTTGGTGCTATAATAGTAGTAGGAGATTTGATTTACCTCAAAGTTATATGTATGTAATATGTATGTATGTATGTATGTATAATAAAATTTAAGTGCCCATTGTAGATTGAGAAAAGTATTAAGTTGAATCGGTAAAAAACATAAAATGGTCATCTCCAGGGTTATAATATAAAAACACATGTTAACTAATGATATAAATAACAAGTACCCGTAGGCCACTATTATTGTAATAACACACGATTGGATCCAATTTTAACATTACATTAGCTTAATCGACTAAAACATAAAATAACCATAACACAAGCCTGGTGACTTCTATATAAAACGAGTTAGTACGAGAAAGTACTTAGAAAGTATTTAACAAGTAAGTTCAACTGAGAAGAATTTATGAACGTTAGTACGATGAATACATTAAACATTTTTTTATTAGATATATATTAGATATTTACATAATGTCAACTAGAAAAGTAAAGATAACTTTAAATACTCTTAATATTGTAAACCAATTTAGATATTTACTTACATTTGAGATTGAAATCCGAAATAGTTATAGGTTTATTTTTTCTATATCAACAGAAAAACATATTTAATATGGGTAAAGTTACTGTTTTTGATGTATGTATTCAATTTTGTTTTAGAAATTGTTTTTATTTTCTTGCAAAACGAACAGTTTTAAAAAATAATATTGACAGATGTCAAATCATATTAAATTTCAGTTATGAAAAAAGTTATTATTGTTAGATTTAAAGATACCCAAAATTAATTTTCGACGAATTATGGCTTTAAATACATCCAATTATTTTAGTAATGAACAAATATATTCTAATTTTACCATTATAAAAATATATTTATAGTTAGATAATTTTTATTTAATCGTTAAAATTATTAAACGAATCGATATGATTATATGGATGTAAATTATGTATATCATGGCAGTTTATAGCAACGTATTTGATTTCACACACATTTATATTATTAAAAACTGTTATACCGTTGTCCTAAAATAATTTACCTATAAAATCCGTTATAATCAGATACAAATTGGTACCTCTTATAACCTTTTTTTGTAATATAATTGAATATTGTTTTGAACAGCCAATTATAGCAGTTATTAATAAAGAAATACTTAATAACGAATGAATTAAAACATGTGATCTTTTTCGAGCGCACCTATGAAATAAATTGAAATTTATTATTATAACTATTATAGATTAAGGGTTGACCACATTTCTAACATATTCTGTTCAATTAGTTTATCTATTTTGTGGTTTACCCAAATCAGTAGTATGTATCATTTTAATTAATTGTTTGGACCTTCCTAAGGCCGTTTCAATTAAACGAATTGGTAATGTGAAATTAATATTGAATATTATATTGAACATATATTTAGGTTATGATAATAGAATATGTAAATTATAAATTTTTTATTGTATCGATAAATTAATAAAAATATTAAAAGTTTAATGTTATTATTTTTTTTGTAAATTATTTTACGTATAGAAGCTACAATAACTCTAAAAGTTTTATTCATTAGTTTTGTTGATGGTACGAATCAAACGGCTCTTTAGTTGGCACTTTTAAAAGGTAATTTATTGTTTTTCAATAGTTTTTTTAAGCATATGGAAATACTACCGTAAAATAAATGAGAAAAAAATCTTTACTAACGTAGTTTTTTTTTATACTAAGTTCCTCAATGTTTTCCGAATCCGATTTATCATTTCTTTCAAATTTATTATATCAACATATCGATATATATATATATATATATATATATGTGTATGTATCCTATAGGCGAGTAAAGTGAATAAAGTTCTCAATGGTTTTTGTATCGCATTCGAGTAGATTTTATTTTTTATTTTTATATAAACAAATAGGTACCTAAGTGGAATTTATCAATAGAAAAAAAAAAGAGTAAAATTTAACTAAAATAAAATATAATTGGTAATTTTAATTTTATTTTTATTAAAGTTTTAAAATTATGCATAATATTATAACATATTTCAATTTTTTCCTTTTTAAAAATGTCATTAAATGTGTACATTTATGTTTTTCTCCCTTTTTTCTACCTATCCTTAAATTTACTCGTGATAAACTTAATTTATACATTTGTTTATGAAGTATGTATAGACTAAGTAATACAACAGTGAAGAAAGAATATTTATTACGCTAGCAGTATCATTTATAATAAGAGGGGTCACATGATTTCAATTTTCAACAATGGTAAAAAACAATGACTTAATAAATGTACAGAGCTCACACATATATAATAATCGAAGAGTAATTTTAAAATAGTAAAAATAATTTGTTTCAAAAATTAATAATTTTATCTTTATTCAAAGGTAATTTAATATAGATATTTTTATGAATACTTTTTTTTTTAATTTATATTAAATTTAATAATTTCAAAATAATTAGTTTTTTTTTAAAAAGTTGTTCTTTAAATTAATTTTATAACAAGATGGTTAAAGTTAATAAATTCAGTATGCTAACAAAGATGAAATATTGAAATATTTGAGTTTGAAAGTTTTGATGCAATCAAGAATTTTTATAAATAAAAGGTAAAAATTTTCATATAAACTATACTAGTTTATAATTTACACGTTTATCTATAAGTATAAAAAAAAGTAAAAAAATATGATATTAAACAAAAATTTATATTTGAAAATATTCATATTGTTTAATTATTTATAAATTATTATCGCTGAGTTTTATTTTAAATTTATACATATATAAATTATCTAAATATGTATTTTTTTTTAATTTTGATAACTGTAATCTCTTACTTAAGTTCCACAAATAATTTTTTCTTATTTATTTTTGCTCAAAAAATATTTAATTTTTATTCAACAATTTTTATACAAAGATATTGCGATATTAATTAGAATTAAGTTAATTTAATACCAACTAAAGGCATTTTAGTAAATAATTCTACATGTTGATACTTGTAAAATCAACTGAACAATTAAATATTAAAAGGTACACACAGTGTAGCTATTACTGTATTGAGTTTATATTTTCATTGAATTTATATACATATGAAATTTAAAAAAAATCAAAAGATTCAAGTATTTAAAGAAAAAATGTTTTGTGAACATCTTTGTAATTGTTCGTTCCGGACCTAATATATTTAAGTATTAAGTACCTACATAAGGTCTGTCTTAATTAATTGTTCATGTCAGCTAACAGTTTATAGACCCAAGATAATGACATTAATTTATTTAATAAATCAAATAGTAAGATAGCTACTGTTTATAAGAACGTTTTACCTACTAATAAAAATATTTTACGTAGTTGAAAATATTTCATTTTACTGGTACACAATTAATAGATGACAGGAATAAAAACAGATAATTTACATTTATGACAGTCCCCATAGGTTGTGGTACTTTATCGTAGAATTTCTATGAAAAAGCTATACTGTTATTAACAATAATAATAATAAAATAGCCAGAAGCTCATTGGTTGTTTTTTTAAATTATCTTTCGACACGAATATACAATACGATTTGTTTATCACATTTTTCTTCAAAGCTATTCTTTTTCACTCTATTCTATATTACTATGAAATAATACAATACAACAAATTGCGAAATCATATTTTTATAACAATAGATTTGAATTTAAAAAATAATATTAATTTTATTTTAAATTAAATTACATTGAAATTTTATTTCTAAATATAAAACTAACGTGTATTACATATTAACACCATTGTATTATATATAGTTGTTATATATTTTTTGGCAATGATAACTGTATAATTATTATTTCGAAAGTATTTAACATATAAAAAAAATATATGTGTATATTATGTTACAGTCAAGCTAGGAAATCGGAAATCGTGCATAGTGCCGGATTTTCGAGGGCAAAGTTGGAATAAGCTAAAATTGCCCATGCATTGTTAAATATTAAATATATTAAAAATTTAATAAAAAA